AAAAAAAAAAAAAGAAACGAACCAAAAGGAGCCTATTCTAAGCATCTTTCGTATATGACAAAAAAACATATTGTAATATTTATCGTATCTAGCATCATTTCCCACTTCAGTTTCTTATGTTATCCGCATAGGAAATATACTGATAGTTGTAGCTTCATTGTACAAGAGATAATAGGAAACAATTTTTACACCTCTATGCCAATTTCTGGCAGACATTCTTAAAGTAAAAAAAGAAATAAGGCTCTTTCAACATATAACGTGACCTCTGAAGCATTATATCGTCATCGTGTTTTAAGCATTTTCGCATTCGTAAGCGTGAACTAAAATATATTTCTGCGTAATGCGAAATCACAAAAAGAACAAGTTATACATGCTCATGAATATATATACTGCCTAGTGTTGGGCACATGTTTAATCTACAGATAGAGGGAAACCTCCCATAACTCTCCTTCCTTTAGTAATAATTGCCAAAGGTCTTCCATAGGAAATATTTTGACTAGGCTTGCTTCCATCTGCTCACTAACTAACCTCTTTTTTTTTCTCCTTCTCCCTGAGTAGTAATACTATTCTATCACCATATCCTTATGACAATACTTCCTTAGCATTAATCATGTGTTTCTTCATATGTGTCTGCAAATTCTATACGTTTAACATAACTGTAAAAACATTGGGAAGGCATTCTAAAAGTGTAATATCTTATTCCTCCTTCCCTTGTCATGTTTCCGCATCGTATTTTCTTCTTTTTATTTCATGTTATTCTTGCTCTTTTTTCTTTTTTCCTGTTCCCCCCTTATTCACTGGATACTCTTCTTGGATCTTCCTATTTGTTGTGTATTCTATTATGTATCTTTATACTTCTTACTCTTCTTTTCATTTCCTTGTACTGGTACAAGGTGTTCTTTTTTAAATGTGTGCTTTGTGACTCTAATTTTTCATATTCTTTATAGTATGACACCAGAGGTGTTTGATGTTTCCATTTCTGCAAATGACGCCAGTGTCCTCCCCTTCCTTCCTTTTGATAAGGACTCTGGAATACCTTGTGTCACTTCTTTGTTTCCTGTTTTTATCTTTGTTTCTGTGTTATATGATACTTTATTTTATATTCTGGGTATAGTGTTGTTCTTGTGGCTGAATTTCATTTCTATGTTCACGGTCCTGTTAAATTCTTCCCTCTGTTTCTGTTATTACCCCACTTGTGATTTGATAGTAATGTTTGGAATATGTGGTAAGTATTCTGTATTGACTCTTTCTAGATATTTTTGTTTATCTTTCTATGATCTCTTGTATATAAGTGTCGCATCCATTACTCGTATTTAATCCTTCTCGCTACTTTTATATATTATTTCCGCGTATGCAGATATATAAGATATAAGTAATTTTGAAATTCTCCCTTTTTTATGGTATTATACTTTCTTACATCTCTTGTACTCTTGCTGTTACTTTCTTTCCGATCTTTGGTTTCATCCTTCTGGTGAGCTTGTTATTAAGGCTGTTTCCCCCCTTCCGTGGCTTCCGTTTTGATTTTCTACTGTATGGTCCCTCCTTCCCATAGACAATAGAAAGACAAGGATGCAGTATAATTCATCCTTTTCTGTATTCTAAGTCTCTCCTGTAGGAGTGTCATCTCATGCGTGTGTTGACGACACTATTATTATAATTTCCGTCTTTCCCGGATCTTTATGAATATTTTATGGTTGCATTATTTCCACGTCCACACTTTCCTCTTTTTTATATGGGGGTAATGTTTCTGCTGTTTCCTTCCCAATTATAATTATTCTCCGTTCTGATCCGTATCTTTATAGGTATTGAAACTCTCGTATTTTTATCCGGGCATTATTTTGTGTAATATCCCTCCTTCTCCATGTCCCGCTGTCTCCTTCCATCCAGATGCAAAGGTTATGTATCTATTGTTCTCTTCCCTGGTACCTGTCTTCCCCCTGTTTCCTCTGGCTTCTATTTCACTTTTTATGTGATATTCTTGCAGTATGCGTCATTTTCGTTGGTATCACTTCCTAATCGACTTTCGCCTTTTGTTGCGTCAATCGTTATCTATTTTATGTTAATGCGTTACTAATGCCATGAATAGTCTGACATCAGAACCTGATATGGCTGCTACTTCTGTTTCTCTTCATAATTGCTACTTATATAAGTTTGTTTCCGTCAGAGATATCGTAGGCAGGATGCATGCCTCGCCTTTTATCTATGACTGTTTGTTGTTTTCCGTATTTTCCTGTACTCTTTTGGCGGCTGTGTATTATCATCATACTGGGTATATCTTTATATATGATACTATACCGCCCTGGTTTCCTACTTTTTCTTTCTTACATAGCCTGTCCCATATGTTGTGGTTACAATGTGGTTATTTTATTAATTATATGGTTTTATTTATTACTACCCATGTTGTAAATGCTCTCTTAGTGTGTCCTTCGTCATAGGATTCCGCTGTTCCCCGCTTATGTGTCCGTTTGTGATTAATTGTATCAACTGTTAAGTGTTATCCTTAGTGGCTGATAGATATATCCCCTGTTTCATTTATTTGTTCATTCCTGTTTTCACATGGGTATAATTTTTCATTACGTATGCATTTTATGAGTCCGCAATGGTCCCGTATCATCCTCAGGGTGGTATTTACTCCTATCCCTATGTATATTTTCTTGATTCCTTTAATGTATCTGTGGTTCCTGGACATAGCTCCTCCACACGCACCAGCCCATTCATCCCTCTGTCTTTATGCTTGTGAAAGTGTTTCTCTGTGGAAAAGATGGGATAGTATCTCCTTCCGCTCTTATATTGTGATTTCTCCATCGCCGTGTTATTTTTTTCCACAGTCTCTAAGGTAGAGTAGTTGTTGCTTGGGGTTGATGGACTCAGTTAATTGAATATTCCCTCAATGTCTCCATCCTTGGAATCACTTCAATATGTCTATTATTATCAATAATTCTGTATACTAATTTTCAGGAGAGTGTCCCTCTTCTATTATCCCATAGAATTTTTGCTGTTTGCCAGAATGCGCAAATGACTTCCTCTTCATCATATACAACTCTGTAATTCTATTCGTGCCACCCCCCTCGCGTAGTGTCTTCTCTCATGTCCATAATATACATATATACGTATTTTTTGACTAATTAGTACTGTTTTATATGTGAGTCATAATCCTGTATTATTCACCTATCACTATTAACAGATAAATAAGGTAGGCATTTATTATGTTCCTTATTCCTGAGTCTCTGTATCTCTTTGGCATGTACCTTTGGCTTATTAACACGAACTCTATGTACAGGCATTTTTGTTCTGTTCCGCCTATGTTTCTGTGTGACTTTATGACTGCACGAATTATAAGCTAGGATTGATATCTGCAGCTGTGAGATATGAGATAGGACTTTTACAATAATCGACAGTGATAACTATAACGTAACTCTCCGTAGTGATCTGAATTTCATGGTGACACAATATCCTATCTGGACATTTCTCATATTTTCAAGTTTAAATACAATATATACTGTAACCTGCGTTGTGGTTGTTCATTTTTGTTTATGTAGTGTCCCTAATGTCGCGGGATTGTGTAATAAAAGCGGCTTTTTTATTTTTTCGAGCATTTGTCCTTCTCAATTCATCTTTGTTTGTTTCTCTTGTGCTTTCTGACAGTGCCAGAAGGATTCCTGTATTTGGTGGCTTTCTTCCTTTGATCTTGTTATTTCTTAAAAACAGATATATAATAGCAAACATTTATTTCAAGCCTTGTTCATATTTGTGTTTTATTTCATGTTGCTCCTGTGTATTGTTTATTCATTTCGAATACTCTGTTACTTTATTTATCGGTATTATGCCTTAATTGAACTCTTCCCTGTTTCTCTCTTCTCTTTCATAAAGGTGACTCCAATCCTGAAGTATACACAACGATTTGGCTGTCTGCTTTTTACTCTTGATATTGTATGTTCCATATCTTATAATATGTATCGAAGCCCGTATTAACTTATAAAGAGTATATATATATATTTATCCCACATCTCTCGTTTCACGATTCAATCGGAACGACAATAATGATAAACTACTTCAGAATACTAAATGTTACATAGGAATATTTCATGTCTCACTATGAGAAGAAATCATAACAAAAATATTAAGAAGAAGCCTACACAGAACATGAAAGAATCTATAAATATTATAATCATAACTCATCCTGATAACTATGTAAATAGAAATATTTAGAAAAAGAGCCAATTTTAAAGAAAAATAGAGATAGTACAGAATTACATAACTTCATAGTTTGTTTATTATTCCATAATACACAGATACACATAGTTTCCTAAATATACTTATCCTCATGATGTAGCCTTCTTATGACATCTCATATTGTATTCTATATAATTCAACCCTGTCGATTGGAATTCGCGTTTCTGATATCCTTTGATAACCAGAAACGGTACTTAACTTATTTATAATACTAATAATCAAGGGCCTATTCGAAGTAATAATTCATAATATTTGAATACGTAATAATCATTAATAGTATTATCTCCTTTATTGACTTATGCTTTATACAGTCTTAACAAAAGAGAGAGGATTAAATAACATCGGAATGCTTCAAAAAACATATCCTATATATAACTTCGACATTCACTGCACATTCTTCCCGTATATTACTTATGATATCTCCCCTTCTGTGTCTCCATATTTAGCATAACTTATTTGACACTTTATATTCAACGTAATATATATCGAAACAGTCCTACTTCATTGATTCTGAGGTAAAAGACAACTTTTTCTATTTCCGAAGTAGGATCACATGAATATAGAACATATTTCATCATACGAAATAGCCGATATTGCACTATTTTCCACGGTTCCAACTTCACTACATCAGTAATCATATATGTTAACTCATAATTATATATTATCGAGATGAACCTATTCTTCATATCTTCCCAGTACGCATACACCAAGAAAACGTTTTCATTGGAATGCTTCATATATATGTTCCTATATTTCACAGTTACAGAAAGGGAAATGAAGAAATTTTCTAAATTTAATAAGTACCTTTCACATAACATATCTCATATTAAATGTACTTCTCTACCTGTTCTAAATATATGTATCCTTCCGTACTGCGACATTCCTTAATATATATTTATTCGCCCCCTTCCATTAGTTTTCTTGTTCAAAAACATTTAGAGCTTATAGTAATACATAGTTAACACTCAGACACATAAACTAAATATATATAGACAGATAAGTCCATTTTTTACTTTTTTTGGAATTTAATACGGAAGAACAGGAAACAATTACCATGTCCATATTATATATATAACACAGGAAATTCCTTCTAACACACACACCCATATACCTACATGTCTCTCGGAATGTATCACTAATCTATTTATAATTACAACAACACCATATTGAATACATAGGAACGTTAAATTCACTTCTAATGCTCTCTGTTACCACTACAGTAATTGGTAGAAATATATTTAACGTATATTCGTAACATAGCGGTAACATAGTAATTATACAGTTAGTTGTACTTGTATACCATGACATTTGCTAACTCCTATAAAACAATAAATGATACACTACAACCATTTGATCTAAGGATAAGAAAAAAAAGATTCTGACAAACTGTACGCTGCTATCTCATGATAAACACGGGCTGCCAATACGTAACCTCATTTAATTTCTACAGGACTTCCTATTAATACCTTATCTAAGAAATTGATACTAACTCACAGAAACCTCCTTCCTTCATCCGAGAGTTACCCTTTTAAAAGACAGCCATCCAATAATCCTTCATTCAGGAATTACGTTTCATTCCCATTAGATTCAATCATTTTCCCTATATTTACTATATTGTTAATATATATTTCTGAACAGAAGAACTTAATATAACATAATAATTCAAAAAGCATATGTTTATTCATTTAATCTACATACATTCAGTGCCTATCCAGGAGCTACAACACGTCCTACTGTGTCTTTTTTAAACTCTCAAGAAGCAATTCATAAATACAACACATATTACGCGCAAATCGCAACGTCCCTAACATTGTAGAAAACGATAACATCAAGTTATACTACTGTACCATTACTCAAGAAGGGGAAACATTAACCTCCCAATTGAATTTTATCACCTTAAGAAATATTCTATGTGATATTAGAACTCTTATTAAGAAAAAATTACAAGCAGTATTTATTCTTATATACCGCCAAGGAGCAAAGATAATTTTTACGCTTTATTCCTACTATTGAACCAACTAATTCTATATATTATTATTATAGTTATGTATTAAATCAAAATAATCCCTAAAATGAAATTTCGCTCTGCTATAACAGAGCCTCGGGAAGGAAGAGCTAGAGACATATAATGTGTCATAACAATAAGCATGAAAGTATTTTATGTGCTTCCTCTGTCATTAGTATAGGATTCATAACGTGGATCACATTACTGTTGTATCCAACTTCTCATAATTTATCATCATCTATACGAATTAACACATTTCACTTAGTAGGTATAGCCCCAAATCACATCTTACTAACATTCTCCTAAGTATACAGCTTCCACATTTCAATATTCCGCACAAGAACTCAGTCATATCTCACTATAATTCCTGCTACAGATTCAATAGTTATCAGTGTAGCAATCTCTTTATTCCAATAAAGAAGAAACAATTTCTAAAATACTTATATTTCACAACTTCTGTATATAACGGTATATTACACTCCTAAAATTAGAGACGCTGTATCCAAACCTATGCTTGTTTCAGTTGCCCTTTTTGGAAGTTCAAACAAGTGACATATTTTCTTCAACATAGATATAAATTAGCACATTACTCATATAGATCCCACCTAACAAAAACATCTTCCTTCCATTGGCACTATTATTTTCTACTATTAAATTCATCCCTGCGTTCCAGTAATGACTATGTTCATAATCATAACATACCACTTCCATGTATAAGCACAAGAAATAAGTAGTTCTCAAAGGAAAGTTCATTCCTCCCAGCTACATATATACGTACAAATTGTCTCTAAATCCTTCATAACCCATAGACTACTCATACATTGCATTCTGCTTACTACCTACATTAACACACTCATCATGAAGAAATCCGACGCTTCATCCAAATCATGCTTACCAAAGGATATTATAACCAATGATGGTGAATTTACTGTTATAATATTATTATTTATGCATAATTCATCATAATGCACTATTTCATTATACAGCTTCCCTTGAATTATAATATACAACTTTGTGTACGATGTATAGGACTACTTCGCCGTATTTACTACTTCTACTCCTGATGAAGGAACAATTTAAGTATTACAACATATAACATATTAGGCGAATGTATGGAGACTAGAGAATATGAAGGTACGCATTTTAATAATTTAAACTACCATAAGGAGCTTATGAACAGGACTTGTACAAACAACTACAAATAACATCAGGACAGTAGGAAAAAATTGAAAATGTAACGGCTTCATTTCTAGAAACTGCTGTACATATCTAAATTTCTGAACATATGCAGAAATAACTAAATCCTATGGAACTAAAGAAACAGATCCTACTAACACAACTGACGTTGCTAACTTTGTGAAGGACATATTAAGATTAATCAGGAATGAATTAAGCATCATCTTAATGGAAATAACGATAAATTAATGAAACACACTAAGAATGATCTAGAATCTCAAATTACGGCGCAGACGGCTAAAAATTACGATTTAAATAAACATAAACTATATTAATTCAATTACGAATTGGCATTTTATGACTTAACATGATTGCAATATTTATATGAATGTTCTGAAAAGTACTGTTAAACCGGAAAGGAATTTAATTCCGTAAAAGGGCAAAATGCTACATAATCCAGAAATGCAACCCCTTCTTGTATAGTAAGCACAAATACAAGTCTCTTTCCTGTGCTCAGAATATCTGTCCAGGATAATGTCCTTTCTTTGACTACTATTAGGACACCAGGGAATTCGTACCGTTAATCAGATCCCGTTGACACATATATACACGTACTAAAAAGAACAATTCATCTATATCTAACTTATCTGAAGATATATCTACTACAGTTGCTAGGAAGGAAAATACTATGGACATAAAATATTCCACATGTTCATACGTTACGCATACTGTATTTCAGAAGAAGACTTCAACGTTCCCATAGTCTAAATATCGTTCACTCACGAAAATCGCATTAGCAGCTTCAGGAACTGTACACAATTTTGGACATCATAATTTATAATCATAAATTATAGATTTCATAACTAATGGTAAATCCATAAATGTCGTCCTAATATCTGATCTTCCCTCAGTGACATCGGGGGAAAAAAATTCAGAGGCAGGAGAACTTCTAAAGAATAATACTCTTATTCCACAATATAAGCGCCCTGTATCTGAAGCACATGTGACGGAAGCAGGAAAGTCCTTTAAAAGCGCAGAAATAAGAAAAGGACTGGAGCGATACCGTAAGAAATGAAAACGATATACGAAAAGAATGAATTCACTCATTGTATAATCTGAGAGATAAACACAGGAATAGGATATACAGATTCGGAAAGACAGCCCTATACGTGCCGATACAAGCTTCCTAATTTACATATTACGAGGACTTTCCGTTCGGAGAGTTGTTCTAAGTCTTAGAGTATTCGTGTACAAGATTTTCGCTTTCCATGTATTAGAACGCATAATAGAAATTTACTACACACACAATATCTTGATGCTTTTGAAGCACTTCTCTAAAAAATTGATACTTAAGAATTCCATACTCCGTAAAGGAAACTTTATACTATTCATACCTAGCATAGTTCAGACTTCTGGTATTATGCTTACATATTGCAACGAAAGCGGAACAGGAAGAAATGGAACATCGCAATCATAGAGAATTCCGCCAATTAGAGAACTAACGTCCAGAATACACAGACAAAAATTCTCAAACAGAAACAATAACAATAGCTTATGAAATTTCATGAGGCCATTACTATTAGACAGAAATATACTATGAAACCATCTAGAACCGAAACATGCATCCGCATCATAGGAATCAGTTTCCATCTCTAATAAGATGCTACAACACATGATACCCGAAATTAATGAAATCCCATTAATATGAGGAGCCAGATGCTAATAGGAACAAACGTTGAGGATATCATACTATACTTTACAGAAATCTAATAACCTCCGCTTCCCTATGTATTTTCATTAAAGAATAATACACAATCCAAAAACAAACGTACCTATTTAACGTTGCCATTATGAATTAGAAATCATGAGAAACCTATAGATTCAAGCATGGTGACTTAGGAAGTTTGTTCACACACATCTGCAATAACACATATTCACATGCACCAGTGACAGTTTCTACCTTTCATATATGCATTTCGCGTATGTCTATTAATAAGAATAAATAATCCTCATAGGGTGTCCGTACTCTTCCGATTTTTATTTTTTTTTTTTTTTTTCTTCTTCCCTATTTTGTATGACAAAATTGAAAAGTTTTCTCCGTGAAGAATGTTGGCCTTTTTTTACGACGGCGTGCATGTTACCATCACGTTCTAAGGTTGTGCCCAGGGGTTACACACCGGGGGAGGATTCATTGTTAAGCGGAAACAATTTGCAGTTAAAAGGGGGGACATAAAGAAAAAAGCAAATTTTACAATTGGTTCATTTGCCCTTTTTAATTAATCTGTCCAACGGAAAAATTACAAATCATGTGTCATTTCTTAAGTTTAATTTTTACATGGATGGGGTGTCCCTTTATTTTTTTTTTTGCCTCCCCCTTTTAAGGCGAAATAAAAATGTTAATGGACCTTTTAAATAAGCCCAGTTCAAATGTGTGCAGTGAACTGATGTAAGAAAAAAAAAAAAAAAAGCAATGCCTGCAAAGAGGTAGCATGCCATTCGCCGGAACGTAACAATGATGCAAAAATACATGCCACATTTCTGATTAAAAAGAGTAGAATAGTTTTAAATGAAGACATGGCGAAACAAGCATTTTTGAAAGTAATCCTTCTGTGTTCCTCCTTTCCCCCTTTTTTTGGATTCACCCCATTTGTATGTACCCGTCGCTGACATGTTTAAATTGGTAGAGCACTCAAATTGGAAAAGAAAAAAAAAAAAAAAAAATAGAATATGTCAAATGTGTAAAAATATCCAGGCAGAATTTAAGGACATGACGAGTACACTGACGTAGGCCCCTTTTGCATACGTCGTGTCCAAGGAGGATTTTTCCCGAGGCCTCTTCCATTAACACAAGAAGAATTAGAAATAATTATTTCTATAAGAATGCATAATTCGTTTTAGTCACCTTTTTCGCAAAATTGCTAGAGGGACACAAATTCGAAGACGCTTTTTTGAGCATTCAGATGGTACTTTGCGCACGCAAAAATAAGCGGTAGGGATGGAGAATTTTCCGCTTCTGGCGCTACTGCGATTTACTTTGCATGGCCGACATTGTTGGATGTTATTTTTCCCAGTTGCATACTGTACATATACGTACACATGGAGGCGCGCATGTACCTATGTGTGTGTGTTTCCCAATTCGCCTCTTCCCGGGCACACGTGACGCTGTGAGCTCCCTGCATTTGCTACGTGTACACATTTGTGCTCTACTTTTACTGCTCCATTTTTTCGTGCTCCACGTTTTCCACCCCCGCTGACGCCTGTATGTACATGCATACGCGTGTGTACGCATATGTTCACATATAACGTACCTACACCCATCCACATGGGGGATAAATGAACAAAGGCATCGCTCCGTAGACATCACCGCAGCACACAAATTAAGAAAGGAAAAATTAGCCCGACGCGTGGAGGTACGTGTTCATATAAATGTCAATACGTGTATAACTTCCTCCCCCCCCGAGGCGGGTACATTTCATTTTTGTAATTTTTTCCCCTCTTGAATTTTCTAAATAAAGTGCATCTGTGTGTGTATATGTCACATGTGTACCACTCGCGAGGCACTGTATCCTTCGGGTAAAGCGAAGCAGGTTTTTTTTTTTTTTTTTTTTCACCTTCCCTGCACTGCTTAAATTTCTCCCTGGATTTGTAAGCAATAGCAAGATGGGCAATGTGTGCACATGGTAAGGCTTCAACGAGTTAAAGCGCAGAAAGGAGGTGTGAGGGAAGCGGCCCGGGTTGTCACTTGTGGCAAAACAAAAATAACAACTCGAAATGAGAGAAAATAGGATGCATCTCAAGATGGGAAGGCCGCCGAACGACGATATCGCTTTATTGCAATTTTTTTGCTTTTTTAAAAAAAAATGGCACTGGATCCGCCTGGCTGTTTAGCAAGTGCGGAAGAAAAAGGCGGAATGAGAATAAACAAATTGGCGAAATGTGCAAAGTGTGCGAACATGTCGCGAGGTGCATAGCCACGTACAGCGGTGAAAGCAGCGAACTGGGAAGGGGCACTTTGAGAGAAAGAATTGACGAACGGACGCTTCTCTCGGCCAAAAGAGTATGCAAACGCAGCATTTATGTTCTGCGCCGGCAGAAAACGTATCGCCAAGTGCAACTCGAAACATATGGCGAAGTACATGGCAAAGCACATGGCGAAGCATATGCCGAAGCACGATTTACAAAAAACCCTTTCACAGTGTACACTATTACACATGTTCACGCGCATTCGAACGTACTGTGTGTACTCGTGAGGCATAACGCGTTGCCGTCCGCGAGAAAAAAAAAAAAAAAACGAACAAATGAGCAAATGAACAAATAAGTTAACAAATACACGGACACGTGAACAGGCAAATACGCAAGCGCGTGAACAAACAAAGACACAGTTGCGTGAACAGATAAATGATAAGCGAAAAATAACCCCTGCCGATGCTCATTCCCCATTTTCCCACACCTTTCGAAGGAGACAAGGGAAAGGAATTCCTAGCGAACAGAACACATCAACCATGAATGACGAAGATATACAGAAGCAATTCGAAAAGTATGAACAGAATGTACAGCGGAACAGCAAAAAAAATATTCTCAGCGATAAATCCAAGTGCAGCATCGATGGAGAGAAAAGGAATTTGTCCAGCCCCTCCTCAATGAATAAAAGGGAAGACGGAGGTTTCCAATCTAAGCCAGCGCACAATGATGCCCAGGAAGAGAATCAACTCTCCGGAGCGAATCAGTTGCCTTCCCCAGCTGCGAAGAAGAAAATACTCATAAGTAAGTCCCGTCCGCGTCATGTCGCGGGGGTTGCGCGGATGCTCCGAGGCTGTGCGAGGGGTTCTCCAGTGGGGGAAGTTCGCTTCACTAACCCGTTTCACTGACCCGCTTCACTGACCCGCTTCACTAGCTCACTTCTCCACACCGCTTCACTTGTGACCTCCCCCCACGCAGGTGAGGAGTACTCCAGCGATGGAGACGAAACGGAGTGCCTGAGCGAAGTGGACAAGAAGGAAATGGAATTGAACGAATCGGACGTAGCGAACCTCAGCGTCGGCCAAAGCAAGCGCCTGTCAGTGAGCGCAGAGGCATACGGAGAGTGGAATAAAAAAAAACTGAACTTTGTCCCAAAGGTGTACAAAAAGGATGAAAGCGAAAAAGAAAAAATAAGGGAAGCTCTAAATGACTCCTTCTTATTTAATCACCTAAATAAAAAAGAGATGGAAATCATCGTGGACGCCTTCTTTGATGAGCATGTCGAGACAAATGTCAACATAATTAACGAAGGCGATGAAGGAGATCTTCTCTACGTAATCGATGAAGGAGAAGTGGAAATTTATAAAATGAAGGAAAACAAAAAGGAAGTATTAACAATCCTAAAGTCTAAGGATGTCTTTGGAGAATTGGCTCTGCTGTATAATTCGAAAAGAGCTGCCACTGCAAGAGCCTTAACCAAGTGTCACTTGTGGGCACTGGATAGAGAGTCATTTACCTATATAATCAAAGACAATGTCGCTAAGAAGAGAAAAATGTACGAAGATTTCCTCACCCAGATTTCTATATTGAAAGATATGGATCCATATGAGAGGTCCAAAGTTGCCGATTCTCTAAAAACGAAAACATTTTCAGATCAAGAAGAGATTATTAAGGAAGGGGAACAGGGAGATACTTTTTACATAATCATTGATGGAAAGGCTTTGGCAATAAAAGACAAGAAAGTTATTAAGACTTATAGTAAGGGAGACTATTTTGGAGAGCTAGCCCTTCTAAAGAACCAACCCCGGGCCGCTACGGTTAAAGCCAAAGATACCTGCCAGGTAGTTTACCTCGACAGAAAGAGCTTTAAGAGGCTCCTAGGACCCATAGAAGAAATTCTCTACAGGAACGTCGAAAATTACAGGAAGGTCTTGAAGGAGTTGGGCCTCGACACGGCTTGCATTGAGGGAAACTGACCCACGCAGGGGGGGAAGCGGTGATGGGGAAGCATTGATGGGCAAGCGGTGAGGGGGAAAACTACGAAGGAGAAACGTGCCGTGTGAAGCGTCCCTGGGTGAGGCGGTTTCCTAGCGTGTCGTCCTCTGCGCGAGATACTTTGTCCAGCTTTTAAACGACACGCGTAAGGCAATGGGTGCCCATGGATTCGCGGAGGTGAAGGCGGTAAAATGAATTGAGTGGTGATAAGTTGGAATTGCCATGGGACGCCTCCCCCCGCGCAGCTGATTCAACCGGAAGCAAGTTTCCCCCCCTGGATCAAGTTCGCCCATTTCATCAATCCCCAGACAACTATGTGGACCCTGTTTACACATTTGTGAGGCCAATTCTGATCCCAGGAAGGGGAAGGGAGAGAAAAAATGCACACCTTCTACCGATTTGCAGCGGGGCTAGTAATTCCCCCCGTTTGCCATGCGGTGGGGAGAACAAAATTGTTAATTCTTTTTTTATTCCCCTCCCTTGTGTTCCCTTTTTTTTTCTTTACGTTAAAAATTTGACTCATTTTAAGATTTTGTAACTCTGTGTGGAAGCGAGGAGGTGAAGTGGCGAGGGAGAAGGGGCGAAACGATCACACAGTCAGACGGCCATACAGCCATGCAGCTATACAGTTCCGATGGAACACCGCGGAACGACGTTCCTCCGGCTGTCCGACTCCAAAACGATGGCACCACGTCTGGAGACACCAAGGTGGCCAAAATAGAATGAAAAACAGACAACCCAGTTTTTTTTCCGTTAAAAGGAAACTGTCGCCCATTTAATGGCATCTCTTGTGTGTCCTTTTTTCCAGCTTGGATGCCCTGCAATATTTTTTTCATATTAATTATGGGCAAGTGTAACAAAGTGGTATGTCATCTTTTTTTGGAGGGGATGAACATTTTGAACGTTTAAATATTTTATTCGCTCCCTTTTAATCGTTTAGCCAAATTCTCAATCTTTTTTCCCCGTCCAAGTGGAAAGGAAAATGGGAAAAATGCTACTTCACTTCCATGTTAAAAGAAAATGGTCACGTGAAAATTCTGCACGGTTAATGATGAAAATATTTTCCGCCTGTGTGACAGCGCAAAAACGGGCGACAATTAATTGGAGAGAGAAAAAAAAAAATAGCCACACAGTCGAGCAGCAAAAGTTGACACAACCAATCTGAGCGAACAGCCAAAGTGCAAGGATAAAATGATGAAAAAAGTCGAGATGTTCAAACGCTCAGTATCGCTAGCAAATCGCCACCAGCGCAGTTCCTCGTTTCCCCCCCATCGAAGGAAAACTTTGCATACTTTCTCCTCACCCTTTGCAACATTAAACGAGAAGCGTAAAAAAAGAAAAAAAAAACACACACAAAAGAGACGCAAAAACGGCGAAAAAACGCCAACGAATGTTGCCGTGGAAGGGCCCTACCCCCCTGTGAAGCGGCAAATATGAGGATGTTAAATCTGTGTCTGCAGGGGACTCAAAGTTGATTCAGACTTCATAAGATATACCTCATCGGTATGCATTCGACATAGTGCATCCACGGACATAGTATGAATAGCCACACTGCAAACAACTTAACACACACGAGGTCACTCCAGAGACACCAACACAGGTGTTATTGTATGGACACTAGCCAAATTTATGACAAATAAAAAGGCAAAATGATAAGCTTGGCCACAGGCATACTCTATTGCACGTACGGCCGGAACTTGGGGAATTTCGTCTTCAACACATTTTTATTTTTTGCGAATTATTTGAATTGCGTTTGTCTCGTTTTGAAGAAGGTAAGTTGCGCTCAACATGTGTATCATAACCCGGTTGCTATGGTTCTTATGGGTGGAAGGATGCCTATACCTACATAGCGGCAACAATTGTTCCCTGCTTCTCCTCCACACACCTTTTCCCCGCAGATATCATGCCTATTCAACAGAACGAACTATAGAGAGCTATGGAGTAAACGTGAAAAATGATAATACCACATTGTGTTTCGTTTTTTATTTTATATTTTATTTTGTTTCATTTTTCTTCATTTTGTTGGCATTATTTCCCTTTTCGTTCCGTTGCCCACGCAACGTTAAGGTGTCTGCACATGCGTATGGTGAAGTGAGCTGCGCCTACGTCTGCCGCGACCGTACGACGTGAAAAAAGAAAAAAAAATGCCCACATGAGCAACACCTATGTGGGCAAATGTGCTTGTATCAAAATAGGCCCGCGCGCAGAATTACCTTCCGCGCTACACCATTTGGAGGGCCCCCCCAAACACCCAACGTACCTTTCCCCCTGTACACAGGCTTGTGCAACATCAAGCGAGCAAATCTCAGTGGACTCCAAATAGAAAATAAAAATTTAGGCCTCTTAAGTATTGCCAGCATTAACACTGTAGAAACGTTAAACAAATCTCTCCTCGAAGTGGAGACTGAAATAAACGAGCGTCTGTCCACAGAACTGGAGGATTCTTATGACGACCAATATAACTTCGTACGTGCTCTACCACGCGCGCGAACGGATGGGCGAATGAACGGGCGAACGGACGGACTAACGTAGACTGGCAAACAGACCCACAACGAGGTGCACATGTCCGCAAATTCTCTCATGCATATAGCTCGTTTCTTTTATTTCCTTTAACCCCATCAGGACTTCATTGACACGGTTCAAGAAAGCGATTTGGACGAGTAAATGCGGGGGATCCAACAGACGGAGAAGCAGGCAAAGAAGCAGGCCAAGGTAGTTTTTCCTCCAGTAGGTCCCCCATCCCGCTCTGGACAAACTTCTCCATTTAAAGGTTTTAAAGAACACCATTTCGTTTAGTTTTCTTTTTCCTCTTTTTTTTGCTGTTTTCTCCCTTTATTTTTTCTCTTTTTTCCCGTCTGTTTTACTCCATCTCAATTAGCCTTATAATTTTCTGCACTTCTTGGACCTTTTCCCTATGCCATAAGTAATATCTGCAAAATGAGCAAATTGTTAAAAGGAGGGTAGGGATGTAGCAATAAAAAGGCCATCGCGCACAGGTGCAAAGAGGCGGTGATGCAGGTGTCCCCTCATTTGACTTGGAAGAGATTCACCCGTGATGTGTGCAGCGAAGTGTACACACGGGTACAAACCGGAATGGGTGACGTCGTGGTAGACAGCATATCAGCGGGTGGCTTCGTACAACGACAACTCCCAGTTGTAGTTCCCCTCGTTTTGTTCGCTTTACCTGTTCATGTCGCTGTTGTTACTCTCCTGTAAGAGGGATAGCAGCTGCTTAACCAGCTGAAGGTTAGTTTCGAAATGGCAAAGGAAGAAATTTCTCTTATTCTGTGAATAAAGAAATAAATTCTGTTGCAACATATTTATATATTTTACAATTTCATTTGTTTTCCCCTTTTTGGAAGAGTTTTCCCTATTATGTAGCCGCCCCATGATATTGTCAATTTTGTCCTTAACCCTGTCCAACAGAATGGTACTTGTGGCCTCTTCTTCCAATATGTATATCTCATTTAAGATGGCCTTGTAGAGTAAAAATAAGTAAAATGGGGTGGACTCCCTCAACAGTTTTTGCTCATTTGCCTGACTAGCCTTGCTCACCGCGTCATGACACCTTTTTAGTTTTCTTGCAAAGTCCTCACGAGGTGAACAACTCTCCGCACTTTTGAAGGAATCCATAAATACATAGTTACTAAATGAGTAGAAAAATAATATCAAGTCATACTTCCCCATGTCATGCAAATTGGTATGTGAAATGTACTTCTCGTCTTCTTCCTCCAATTTGTTCGCGTTGGAGTTATTTTTTCCCTCTTTAGTGGGATCCCCTTTCCCCGAAGGTTCGCACTGTCCTCCAGACGAACATCCAGTCGCTAACCCATCCAAGTGAATATGTCCCGTGAGGTGATCCAGTAGTTCCCTTTCCATACACCTGATATTGTCATTTTTTACATTGGACATGTTAATATTGAAGAGAAGGTTGATTAGCGGGGGGGCTGCTACATGTTCGTAGCACTTCCTAACAACTGCACACAGATCGACATAAAACAAATCATCCTTAATGTTCGCCTTTATGTAAGAAGACATTATTCTTACGACTTGGTCATAATTCATGCTGCATAGTCTCCCTTTCAGTACAGGAATAAATTGCGTTAGAATGCTTTTGCCAGAATGTAGTCGGCTTACAACGCTCACTATTTTTAATATTTCCTTTACGTGAAATTTGTCCAAATTTTTTAATATATCATTGTTTATACAGTCCCATTTTATTTTACTGAAGTTTTTGGACTTATATGTGTCACTCACGCATTTTACAATTAGCTGCGTTGGTGTGTTAATAACGCCTCCTGTTAGCAATCTTCTGTTGTGTGGCAAACTGGTGAGGGATACAGAAATGAAAAGGGGACAAAAGGGCTTGCCATTTTTTCTATAAGTTAAAAGTGCGCAAAATTTTCTTATACCTTTAGCGTTTCCCCAACCTGAAGGGACCATTGAGCGAACGGGCGCTTTGCCAAATTGGGCTCACGACAGAGGAGTATATATATCCTATGCGATTCCTTCACTCGTCACTACAAATGGATAAGGAGAAAGGAGGGTGTCAAAAATGGAGTAACAAATGACGCGGTGAAAGTGACCTTTTAACTTCTGCAACGTTTGAAAAGAGATCGCGATAATGAAGGGCCAGAAGTTAGCCATAAAATATTTTTCTCTTTTGTTTTCTTTTTTTTTTATTTTATTTATTTTTTTATTTTTTGTTTTCCCGTTTCTGCATTTTTCACCTGAACAGTTCCTAAAAAAGTGAGCAGGCAATTTCTGGAAAAATTGTGAACCAGCGCGGCAAAGAAAAATTATAACTACCATTTTAGCAAGGTTCCATATGAGGCACACGTGCTCTTCTTTAAAAAATAAAGGTTAATATGTCTATATTTCGCATCGCTTAACAATTTCAAAAATGTAGAAAAATGCTAATTTATACGCGTACGATTTGCAGTTTTACGCATTTGTATGGGTTGCTGCCTTCTACCAATTGCGCTGCTCCTTTTCCGTTGAAGTAAAGTGTCAATAGACTTTTCCGCGAAAAAAAAAAAAAAAAGAAAAGCTCCCACAGGGCCAACATCTAACATTAATACGACGTTGATGTCTCCTGGCGAGCTTTATTCGTAGAGGAAATAAATAAATCTTCCAAAAAAAAGCCACCTGAAAAAGGGGGAAAAAACAGTTTAACTTTCCCCATTGTGTACGGTCTGAAAGTGGGCACATGTTAGTGTAGATACATTAATGCGCAAAATCAAGGAAGTACTGTGTTGCACCCTTTCTTCGTAATGTGCATTTTATTCCTTTGCGAGAATTTTCGAATATACTAAAAAAGATGAAATGAAAAAAATTAGGATGCATGTTGCTAACTACATGGGTAAAGTTTTGTCCAACCCCATGTTTCCCTGTCCATTTCCTAAAATATCGAAATTTTGAAAAATCCTCGTGCCAACCTGAGAAACGGCGACATTTGTACATATCCTCATACGCAAAAAAAATAAAAAACTCACACATCTAAATAGGAAAATATATACTCCCCCCCTACACCCCTTAGTCAGCCACTTTCTTAAAATGGACCAAGGGGTGGAAAAACTGCTGAGCCAAATTAACGACCTGGAGTCTAAGAACCGGTTGATTCACATGCAAATCGAGGAGATGAAAACCACTGAAAAGGAGTTGCAAAAAAGTGAGAAGGAGGTAATATCCCCGTAGACACACAACTTGCATTAAAAATTGGACAAATTCCCCCTTCAAAAGGTTCTCCCTTTATCCATCCCGTCCTCCGATTTTTGCACGATTAAAGTATTTTTTTTTTTCTCTTTCTTTTTCCCAATCATGCTGGCTAGCTCGTGTCAGACATAGAAAGCATCTGCAAGCATCTGAAATGTATGGAAAAGGAGGAAATCGAATTGGTGAGGAATTGCCCTGAAGAGGCTTCTAAGCAGTGGGCGTCTGCTCAGTTTGCACTTGCGCCATGCCACTTATGCGTATCTCTATACACATGCAACATACGCTTCTATTTCCATCACCACAAACACCTCATTTCCAACCAATCAGAATAACGACATAATCCGCGTTAACCTAATATGCAAAAATGTGGAAGCCACATTGCACAACGAATTTGTGAAGGTCGAAATAGCAGGTTACTTCTCTAAGATGCGCCGCGTTATGGGAGGTTTTTGCGAAAGTCGACCAAAATGGCGGCATTCATTTTTTGCACCCCAATTCTTTTATCCTCTTATGCGAATACATTCCTAGCCCATTGCACAGATGGGAGGAGGATGGTGCTTAGCTGTATCCCTACTGGCAGTCAAATAAGATGTAGTAGGGTACACCAAATGAGTATAAACTACTAAAGTAGAAACCAAACATTGGTGAACCTCTCCCTCACATTTCTTACTTAACTCCACCCGTAGCTCAAAAAATCAATCAAGTATATTGCCATGAAGAAAATGACAAGAACATCAACACCGATTTGGGAAAAAGTACCGACAAGGTAAAAGACTGTCTAAATAAAATGTACCATTCCAATGACGACTTGATTGCGTTAAAGGAGGTGCGAAAAAACAATTTTCTCGTAAATAATATTTCGATAGAGGACCTGTACGAAATTTATGAGGTAAAGAGGAAAATTAAAAAAAATGCATATCGTGGGTTGTCCCATCTTTCGAGCACGTACTATGACTGTTCGAGTTACTCCATTGTAAGGGTGTAGTGAAATGCGCCCCAATGGCTTCTTCCCCTACCGAAGCATTAGGCCATTCTATTTGCCTTTCCTTTCTGACTCCTTTTTGAGTGCGATTACACCTACCCATTCACACATCACACAAACATGAAACGAACAAACTGCGTACTCACGACATGTAGGACACCAAAGAGCAGTACCAAGAGAATTCCTTCAAAAATCAGTGCCACAAAATTGCCATTGTTGATTATAAAACTCATTCGTACTTTTGTAACCCCACGCACTTGATACACATGGTAAGGAGGAACGGAAAAAAAAGAAAAAATCACAATTTCAGTTTTGTAGAAGATTTGAATTTTTTTTTTTGTTTTCCCCATTCTTATAGACAAATATGCTAACCGAAAAAGTAAGAGCGAGTACCCCTGACCAGAATTTTAATGTAAGTGGGAAACGTTAAATGGAGATGCAGCTGTTGCTCCTAGCTGCGCGGTGTAGAGTTGCAAAAATGATACCCTTTGCTTACAGGCAGAGGTATTACCCCCCACAAACAAACCTACGTAAACGATTCAATTTTCAGTTTGCGAGCCTCGCCAGCTACTATGGATTGGACGAAGGAAGAAAGAAAGAACGGATAGAAAACTTCGGCTTGTCCGAGTTGAATAAAATAATGATAAATCATTACAAGGCGAAGAAGATTAATGTGAACAGCTCTGCGTGATGTCACCAAATTGGTGGTATGGCAGTGGAATAGGTGTTCTTTTATGGGTTCCCTCTGCATGATTCTTAAGGGGAATTCTTTTATTAATTTTTTTTTTTCTCTTTTTGTTCATGCTGCAATGTATGAGAACAATTGGGTTAAAGTGTGGACTACCTCTATCCGTGTGAACTAATTAGTATGGCCATCTTGGCCCTGGCCATCCCTCACGTGTATAGCTTTCCCTTTACCGATCCTACATAACTGTAAATTAAATTTTGCAGAGTCGCTTTGTTCCTCTTAAAACGTTTCCCAGTTAAGTGTTAGTTGTTAACGTGGGCACACTCCAGCTGCTACGCTGAGCTGTGGTATCGTCCTCCCCCTCAATTTTGTTTATACCCCGTTGTCCGTCCATTGTATTTTCCCTCTCATCTTTTCTTTTCCATTTCGTTTTATCCTAATCCTTTGGATCGAAAAAGTTCCTTGCACACCTGAAGCGCCAAATTTACGTATGGGGAATCCTTTCCATAGGGGCGCAGCTTTGTGTTCCCACATTAACATATTAGCCTATTCGCGTATTATTCGGGACATTTTCACGAAAGTTGCATAATTTTGTTCGTGAACGTGCAACTCCCTCCAAAAGGGGGAAAACTACGTCGCGATGTGTAGACGCATTCAAATGTTTTGTCATAGCAAAAAAACCAAAAAAAGAAAGAAACAAACAAAAAAAAAACAAACAAACAAACTGACACTCAATATGCACAATAGCCATCCGCTGGCAAACAAGTGGTGAAAGGAAATTAGAGCATCCAGCTGTCTGTTGCATGCGAAGGCATACGTTGGGGAACTGCACAAAGCGGCAAAGAAATGAAGTACGAATTGCAGAAAATGATATTACATCCATTTGCATAGATAAGTTAAAGAGGCCGAGTCGTAAGACAGCGTGGCAGAAAAACAAAAGAGATAAAATAAATGTGAGAACGTGGAAGCATCGTTACCCTAATGACGCAAAGCGATGAGTCCATTTCTGCTCCTCCTTTGGCGATGGTTGTAATTTTAATTAGGTTATAACAATTTGGGCATTCACGTGAAAACAGGACCAAAACTTAATTTTTTTATATGGAATACATTTTTCTTTTTTTTCTTTCTTTTTTTCTCTTTTTATTTTTTGCCCTTTTCGCAGCGAAATGAATCTTTATTATATCAAAAAATAAAGTCGTAAGCTTTTTTATATCAACAACGGAACAATGCAAAAACAAGTTGCTACAAAACGGTACGTTTTTACTTCACACTGAATTAAGAAGTATGCGCGGGGGATGGGGGGGCGTGCAAACAATTAAAGATGTGTATTCGTATGTATACGAGTGGATTCACGTGCATTCGTATGTGTGTATGCGCAAGCGCATACGCATAGGTATACGTCTGCGAAAGAGGCTGCCAAAATGTCTGCGCGTACGAGTCTGCGCAAGAATGGGAGGTGCGCACATATACATGTACACAAGTGCAGATGTGCACATGTGCATGGTCCCGCCAAACGTCAGAGGAATGCTATCTTGATAAATTTTGGGGTACATTAAAAAAAAAAAAAAATAAAAGACCAAGCGGATCTGCATGTGCAATCCGTCGCGAAACCGAGCAACTGAAGCAACATGTACACACCTACATTCGCACACCTGCACAGTCACACGAATTCTCGCGTGGAAGGTACCCCCCCCTCAACTGAGTAGGGGCGTGTCGGAGAGGTCGATTTTTCTACATATTTTGCAGGCATTTTCGTCGTGGCGCTCCCCAAGGTCACATCCACATCGTCTTGAAAACACTTTCGCCGTCTCGTCCAGTCTATTCATGTCACATGGGGTGACCGACTTGTACGTGTTATATATACCCTCTTCATGGGCAGGCTCACTGAGCTTTGTAACTTGTTGCACAATGCCGGTTGCGTCCGTTGAGAGAGTTAACTGAGAGGCCGTTTCCAATTTGTCGCTGTTGTTATCGTACTTGTGTGATTCTGAATATATGTCCGAATTTGATCTGTTCAAATCGTCCAGATTTTGTTCATCAAAGGATTTATTTTCTTGTATAGGATAATCTATAACTTCATCATCTTTGACGTCTTCATTTTCCTCTTCTTGTTCTGGAGGCTCCTCTGCCTGATCTTCAGGTTCTTCTATATCTTCTGGAACCTGCTCTGGCTGTTCTTCAGGTTCGTTTTGCAATTTTTCGCGCTCCGCTAACTCGTCTATGTCTCTTCTTTTGGGTTCCTTTGCTTTGTTCTTTCTGCAATAATTTCCCATTGTGTAAGAAGTGATTCACTTGCTTTGGTTACCGTTGGCGGTGTTCCCTTAACGATTACACGACGTCGAGGGGCGTGCGCGCTGGGCGTGTAGTGCGTGTGTGCACAGTTTAGTTGACGCAGGTAGAACCTCCCTCAGTCTTCTATAAGTTTAATTTCGTTATCTGTGTACTTATCTCTGTACATGTAGACGCGCAAAGGCGAGTGTGTGTGCGAAATCGTGAAGGTGTGGGCGCTTTAGTGTGTGTGTACTGATTTATATCCACCTACACGGGCCGTCTTAATTCGTGTGAATTATTATTCTTGCGTGCTCGACTAACACATAGGTGTTCATATATGTCAATATTATTTGACTATATATTGGATTAATTCGTAAATTTCCTGGTGCTTCATGAG